CAATTATGCCGAGGTAATAGATCTCGTCACCAGGTTGGCCATTCTCATGAGTTGCCCGGAAACCTCCATCATCCGCATAGAAGACATGGTATTTCCGTTCATCGAGGATTTCATCCGGCATCTTAGCAGCTGCTTTGTCCAGTGGAACAGGCCGTTCACGTTTGATAAGCATGCGCAGCTCCCGGGCCTTGCGTTCATTCTCCAATTTTGATGGAGTGCGCATCAGGTTGTTGGGGGTCGTATCCTCTTCGCGGTTGCCTCCTGGCTGGAAGACTTGAAGAGTCTTGTCACGCAATTTCTCTTCATTGCCCCTATCCGCATCATGGATTCCTACCAGAAGAGAATAGTCCATGATCTTGAGTCTTTGAAGCAACACAACGTCGCGTTTCAATTGCTCAATGAAGAAGTCTCGTTTCGATGGGCCGCATTCCAAATGACGGTTACGACGAACCCAGTTCAGGTCCTTCATAGTCGCTCTAGGATTTCTCTCGAGATCGGACTCTTGCAGATCACGACCAATCGTCGAGCCCTTCAGGTCGAACGTCTGGTGGATATCCCGGTGGGGCGGAAACAGGTTGTTCATTACGACAAAGTGGATCTTTCGGCCGTATGCCATTTTGACTCGGTGCAATCCGTAGAATTGTGAGATGAGTGTGTTTGGGTTGTTCTCCACGTGTCGGTAGTACTCGGGAAGAATCTTCCGGAGAAGCTTGTGCTCCGAATGGTGGATGGTCTTGATGATGTACTTGTAGTCGCGTGAGAAGTAAAAGAAGCTCCCGCTCTTGCCGGGGGAGCCCAGTTCCGACAAAATGTACTTGCTTGTGAGGGACATAAGGTAGTCGGCGGGATCGAGACGGAACTTGGAGCGAAGGTGTCGGAACACCCAAGGTGCATAATCTTTGAACTTGAAGTCGTATTTTGCGGAGGGAATCAGTTCATTTCCGGTTCTGCTGCTGTCAGTCATGTCCAAGTTATCAACATTGAAAGGGGTGCCCACATATCAAAGGAGAACTTGTGTTTGGCATCAAAGTCCGCCGGGGTGAGTTCCCGGTCCATTTTCGCGTTGATTCTCGAGACCGTGAACCGAATACCAGTCAACATATTGTATGCTGTCACATAGTTGACGTGATTCTGGTCCACTTTGGTGCCGACAATCACCCGATCATCGTCCTCCTCTTCGCGGCGTCGTCGTGAGGCTCGCTTTTGTTTAATAGCCTCGGCCCATCGGGCCGCATCTTCATCCGGCGGTGCCCCATCCGGGGTGATATCTTGCTGGGTGCTGTTTTTCGTTGCCCGTCTAATCAGACCGACTGACGCGCGTCGGAAGCCGGTGGGCGGTGACATTCGGCCGGTGCTGTACGCAGCATCATCGGTGTATTCTCGGCTATCTCGTCGAACACTGGGCGTTCTCGGAACCTGCAATGAATGTCGTTGTCGCATACTGGAGTTCTGCGATTCTGGCACGGAGGCAGCGTCGAGTATGGAAGAGGCGGGAGGGGAGGAGTGGCGCGGTTGGGCGGGCTTCGAATTGGGTGCCAGGCGATCAGGATCTGGAGAATAGCGACCGTTCTCATCCTGCTGCGGGATTTGTAAGAGTGAGGCCGATGGCGAGATTGAAGACTCATCAGCGTAGGGTGGATGAACGTCTCCATTGACCATGAGTTTCCCTTGGACAGGTCGGCCATTTGCAGTACCATTGGGTTGTTGGCTGGGAGGGGATGCTGTTGTGGAAATAGCTCCCGGTCCAGTATCCGAAGGCTTACGGTCCAGCATGGCGGACGGGCGGCCGTTCTCGCGGGGATCCCTCGTGGATCCATTGCCTACCGAATGCATGCTGCCGTCCTTGGACAGGGGCAGTTCGCGCGTGTACGAGCCGACACTAGAGCGAGGGCCATTCAGGGAGTATGCACTGCCGTTCTTCAGGTCGGTCAAAAGTTGTCGGTCATTCTGATGGGAGTCGTGATTCACGTCGTTTTCGTTGGGCCAGTTGGTCCACAGGAAAGTATTTCCGACGGGGGTCTTGTCGTGCGACTTTCGAGAGGATTCGAAGGAGCGAGGATGGGTAGCCGTGGCAGTGGCAGTCTGGTAGGAGACGTCGTTGGAGAAGGCTGGCATGTTGGATTTTGAGGGAACGAGGGTGACGTGAGTTCTGCGTGGACCGGCAACCCGAAGTGACGGCAGTCGCCCTTATTGGCGGAGATCCAGGAAACTTGTGAACCGGACGGAGTTCCAGATGATTAGAGGAAAACAAAGAAAGTATAGAGCCAGTTGCCCAGGGGGTATTCAACCGATCAACATAATTCAATGCAAGGGAAAAGGGGAAGGCGTAAATGAGGTTGTTAAAATGGGGAAAATATGGGGGGGGTGTGGAAGGGGAGATGGAAGGTTGGTTGTCTGGGAGAAAAGAATTACACGTATGTATGGAGTACATCCAAATGTATAACTCCACCGTTTATCTCTTCTTTCTACATGTGTTTTTTTTTTTTATATATATGTGTTAGATGTTTATATTATATTCCAATAGACATAAGACACTTTTATTTTAATCCTTTATTTACCTAGAGAACATGCGTATATAATTATTGTGGTTTGTATGTAATATGGTAAATACTAGGCTAGGTACATGTATCAGGCTGCTGCATAAAAAACTCAGATGCTCAATGAGCGTGGTTTATCACGTCTTTTTTTTCAATTTTTTTTTTTTTCGATCTTGTTATACTGTTATACTGTTATACTGCTATATTACTTTCCATTACTTTCAATATAAAACTGTCAATTTTATTGGACTTTCTCTAATCTCAATACAGTACAGTTGTTTATGCAAGGAGATTGTTGCACAAACTCTGTACATCGAGTTATAGTATACAAAGGCATACAACATACATACTAGTATGTAGACGCCCATATATAATAATACTGTACGGTCATTCCCAATACCTATCTTCGGTACATACATACCAATACAGGTGGAGATGCACCAATTACAATGTCAATCAGCCTATCTGTGAGCAATTTCTCTGGATTTCAGCCCTGGGGAGATAAAGAATCAGACAATCTTCTTCTCCTGACTCTATAATGTATGTTGTATATATACAAAGTATGTATACATACTCCAGTAAAAGAAATTGTTCCAACAATAGCCCCATAATGAAATCTTCCATCTGCGCCACAGGGGAAATTCTCCACTCCCTGTACGAAGGTACAAGTATAGTCCCTGACCGGCATCCCCGTCGCCCCCGAGCTCCGGAGTGGAATAAATTCCAACATCCGAGCCGATAGTAAAAATAGACAGTTAATCTCTAGAAGGACCCCATATTGTAGGACATCCGCGTACACATCAGACTTGGAACCGTTGAAGCGTATATCCACATATCGGAGCTGTTCTATCAAGACATGCGGTCTTCTCTATCTCTTACTATGCGCCAACCAATTATCCTGGTTCTCACTTTCCACGGGTTACTCCATAGCATGTGGCGCAGTGATATATCTCTCCACCTTAACAGATTTAACTTTTAACTTATCTTCCTTAATATCCGATTTGGAATCTGTAGTATCGGCATGGCCATTCAGAGATCGCTATCATAAACTTTACGGATCGTTACCTCCATCGAGGTAAATGTCCTTATGTGTGCATGTGGGCAAGGTAGGATGGAAAGATACAAAATTTCCGCCTCATCATATGACTTCTGTAGCCCAATCGTAGCACGCATATCCTCCAATCATCCATTCACGAACTAGAAGAAACTGCTCAAATTGGTGGAAATTCGGATATAAGTTTACTTGACTGACTTGGACCCTCCAAATTGTCAAGACCTGTTAATACAATTGATATATCTGTAAAATATTTCCAATGGAACAGTATCTCAGCATATGGTTGGCGTCATAAGGTTCGGCCCCCACCGAGTCCCGGTCTAGTGCAGCCGAGTTTGAATCTTGATCAACTCACCAAAGCTACATAGACTCCCAAGGTCTACTAAAAGAGATCGTGGTATCTCGCTGTTTTTCAAAGCCCTTCGATTTACTTGTTATTTTCCATCTCCAGACCAGAGAACCCATAAAATCCCAATATCACACCATCCATATAAGAATGAGGTGCAGAGTAATTAGATTTGCCTTTTCGACCACTACATATGTACCTATTTATACCGCCGGACCATCAGTTGCTAGGTGATATACTTGGCCATTTCTGTCTTGACTGAATCTAAGAACAAAGAAAAACAGCACCGCAACCCACTCCGTACTATTAATGCAGTGCCATGTCCTGACTCAATATTGTGGCCTCACTTGCATAAGATCACATATCATGTGGGATTTGGGAAGGGTCTACTTGATCGTTGGGCGTGAAGCTTGATTGTATAGTTGTGCCCTATACTCAACCTACTCGCCCTATTTGACATAGATAGAGATAGGCAAGACGTGGACCGTTGATCTTTCCAAGGTCACTCGTAAAAAATAGGGGCAATATGTAGAACAAATCCCAGAGAATCCAAAAGTCCTTTTTTCTACCGGGATATCTGGTGCAAGCAGCCATGACAGGTAAGAGGAGATATCTTTCAAGTTGTGATAACTCAAACTTAGGAAATCCAACAGTCATGGTCGTCCAGTATGCTTCCCAGTTGAGTCACTCACATACGCCAAATCTGTAGGACCGTGATATGATTATCTTGGAGGACACCGAGTTTCCGCCATCACAGTCAAGCGACAGTCAAGCGACATAAACCGGCTGGGCACAAGAAACTTTAAGTCCAATAATAGGTCGAGTCACTACTATGGGTCAACGCCCTTGAATGCGACAGTGTGGGCTGGAAAACTTCGAAGGGCTATTTAGTCCTTACATTGACCTGCAACAATGTCCCATAACTACTCATTCTTTGATCCAATCACTTCAAGGCTTTTGTCCACTGTTATATTGACCACCACTACCATATCTACACAAATCGCCCAGTGACAATGCCCGAAAGGGGTGGAACCATGGGTTCACCTGGACGGATAAATATTTCATGCTCGAAGAACTGCTACTGTTGAGACAACAGACCGATGATCTGGCTGTTGATGTTGTGAGCCGACTGCAGGCCGTTGCTTTAAAGAACAAGAAAAGTAATACGGGACAATGTTTTGGTCGATTTGACATGTACGGTTTTTTGAAGGAACATCATGGAGAAGACAGTGTGCTACAAGAACTCTGGGAAGAAGTGAACGCAGTCCCTGAATGGGTTGGTTGGGCACAGATTGAGCGAGGACAGGAGTTTCTCTATATCGCTACTTGATCCCCAATCTTACGGGAATTACTCTTCGGGGATTTCTAGGAGGCACTGCTGTGAGGAAATACTTCCGATGGCATATTGGGTTTACAGGATATTGCTAACTTTTAAAAGACAATTGCAGGCTGAACAGAAGTCCTCGTCAGAACAGGTTTTTCCATTCGAGCCCTACCAGACGATTCCTCGAAACCTCCCTTGGACTACTGCAAATAACAATGAATCTGCAGTCTATTCAACCAGGCGGCACTTCGACCGTGCGTGTCTGGCTTGACTAACTCGTTTTATTACACTTTATTTACTGTTTCTTTGCCTACTGATTGTATGTATTAAATAAAGCCCCGGTATCAGATCGTAAACCCGGGTATTATATTCGGTTTACTGTCAAAATGGCTGGGGCCAGGGCTTAGCTAGGACTCTAAGCATCATCTGGTAATAATACTTTTTTCAGTCCAACAGAATAATACAAAGATACGAAGATAAAAATAAATCACTGACACGGGAGAATATGTGGAGTGATCTACAGTTTGTTTACGACTACTCCGTACAACATACGCGATCGACAGTATACGTAGGTCTACTACAACGTACAGTTTAATCTCCCTTATTCGGCCAAAACCCAATTTGAATTCCAGTGACAATGGAATTAATCACGATATCAAGGTAATAAGAAGACAGCAGTTCCCCATTGCAAACCCCACCGCAGGACGCCATCCATAGGACTTTGGAAAGAAGCCAAGCCATCATAACAAAGATACCCCAAAAAAATCAAAAGAGAAGCAAAAAAAAAACCGAGGAAACCATCAGAGCCACAGAGATCAATGAGTCCAAAGAAAGAAATTACAAGAGAAGAGCAAAGGAATCAGTACCAGGTACTCTCCCTGGAAATGCGCACGTGAAAATATAGGGAGAGCTCAACCTAGTGAAAAAGACAAGAGGACATCGAAGCCTCTATTTCTTGGTGGTCCGCTTCTTGGGAGCAGCCCGGGTTGTTGTGGGCTGCGGGGCAGTAGTCTTGGTGACACGGCCGGATTTGGTCTTTCCCAGAATCTTAGGCTGCTCAACGACAGCAGGGGCCTGGAATGTTCATCAATAACGGGTCGATCAAGGGGGGAAGACGGATTGAACATCTGGAAATCAACTTACGGCAGTGGAGGTCTTGCGAGCCTTGCCAGAGTTAGCCTTGGGCTTGGTGGCGGCGGCCTTCTTGCCCACAGTCTTCTTGGGAGCGGCAGTCTTGGTAGTCTTTGTGACAGTCTTCTTGGGACCAGTCTTGGCGGGGGCCTTATATCGCAATTAGCAGGGACCATAGAAATACATCCTCGCTGAGAGCTTACCTTAGCAGGGGCCTTGGTAGAGGCCTTAGTGGAGGCCTTAGGGGCAGGCTTTGCGGCAGGCTTTGCAGCAGGCTTGGGAGCAGCCTTGACGGGAGCCTCCTTCTTCGCAAGCTTCAAGGGGCCAGATGGGCCTAGAGCGCGACGCGTTAATTAAATGGCCAAATAACGGATGAAACTATCCGAAACTCATGGGGCGAAATGCAAAAGTTGAATCAAATCCCGCAGAGTAGGATAGAACCAATGCGTGCAGGCAGGGTACATAGGAACATACCCTTGGGCTGAGTGAACTCATTCTTCTCAACACCGGCCTTGATAGCCTTGTTGAACTGAGAGTCGAAGACACTCTGGGAAGTGACGTTGATCTTGTTGTTAGACTGAACGTACTTCTTGATAGCCTGACGACTAAAATAGGGAGAGTTTCAGTCAGTGGCTGGTTTCTAGAATAAATGGCGGGAAATACTGGAACCGATCCCGGAGGCATCGGCGGCGGCGAACACCAGAATACATACCTGCTACCATTGCGTTCCTTCAGCTATACGCAGAAAGGGCACGAGTCAGCAATGAAAACGAATAAAAACTAAGAACTGGCTTTGTTGTGGTTGTCTATGCCCAAAGCCAAAGACGTGTCACGGTCGGGCGCGCGACCCGAATCACAACAACCAGGTTGGCTCGCGCCGGCAGTGATCAACTCACGCTAATAATGGCATCCTTGATCATATCTGTATTGATCGAATCAGCAGATGTTCGCGACTAGATTCATATCCATATCGCTTTTACGCGATATGGTGGGCATTCGGGATCAGTGAAAACATACCACGGTAAGAGGTGTGAGGAGCAGCAGGCGCCGCCTTCTTAGGCGCGCTGGTAACATTCTTGGGAGGCATGATGATTGATTTAAAGTGAGAAAGGAAGAAGGTTAAGAAGGTCAAGTTATCAAAAGACGAGAGGACTTTAGAGGGGGAAAAAAAGGTGATGGGAGTGAAAGCAGAAGAGGAAGAAAAAGAGCAGAAGGGAAAGGGAAGGCCGCGGGGCATCCGTGATTTATAGGCGACCGGTGTTGACAACAAGATCATCAGAGAGAAAAAAAAGCACTTTCTTTCTGATTTTCTTTCTAGATGTTATCTTTTAGTCGGTTCCTCTTTTAATTTTAATGTTGTGTTTCTTTCCTGTCTTGCTGTGTTCTTTGCGAGTATCTCTTCGCGCGTTCCAACTTGAAGAATGATGTCTACACATTCTCTCTCTTTGAATTTGATATGAGATACACTTAAGAATACCAAGATACTTTGTTATCTTTTTTTTTTCAATATGGATTAAAATAACAGAAGATTCTGCAGGATTATAACGCGATAATAATCATATAAACTGGTAGACTGTTGCTTCTACGCGTCCCATTTCCCCTCGATGGAAATCGCGCATACTCTATTTTGGAGGCTTTTGGGGCGAGCCCATATCTTCTCAGAGAGCACCCGGGAGATCCTTTTTCTATAACATTCCAATGCCGTCTGGGGTAACCATTCCCTCTATCAGGATCTAGGATCCCTTCTTGAGACTTGGAATCCAGAGGCGATAAGATAGTTTGGAGCTATAGATGACCTTTTATACTTATAACGTCGATGCATTGAAGCCTCCTTACTTGGAGGGGACCTGGGGGACCTGCATTACCTCGTGCTGAAAGGTCACGTAGATTTTAAAAGGCTTGTGACTCGATTTCCATGGTACAACCCCTAGATGATGTCGAGACTCGCCACTTTGGACACGTATACGAGCAACTTTTATAGTAACATATCTCAAAGTAATGCGAATTTGAAATGTGAGCTGGTTATTATTTGGTTTTAGTCTTTCCATTATGATAATAATGGGAATGAAAATAGGGGAATGAGCTTTTACACCAGGAGTAACACAGATGGTTACATATATATCATTAAAACGAACAGGGAAATGAATGAATTTTTTTCTTCTTAACATTTTATCAAGATAGCTAGATACTAGAAGTCCCATACCAAACCACAAGATTTATGAAGCCCAACTTCACCCCAGATCCGGGCACGCGATATATATCGCTCAAGAGAGGGGAAACCCTGGAAGCTCGCACCTGGCGGCAACGCCACTGCATAATCACATCAGGATCAGCAGAAGCAACCAATAAAAGACACAAAATAGCCCCGATCCCACCAGTCCCCGTTGATTCGCACTCATAAAGTTACCGAGAAGCAACCTTGGGAGGGGTCTGGATCGACCCGGGACAGATGTATATCGAGGGACCTAGATGATGAGCACGTTTTGTCACAACACCGAACCAACACAGACAGATAATAATGAAACTACACGATCATTGGACCAAACTCCTTGTTCCATACCGTATGACCCCAATTATTGGTCCACCAGCATAGCTGTGTGACGGGGATCATCGTATCTGCATCCGCAACCGGCGCGTCGAATCAAGGGCTCGGATGGTGACAACGCTGATCCTGCACTACATGGACTCTTGTTGCATCTTTGGATGGTGTAGATTGTTCATGGTAACTGGTACCAGCGTATATTCTCTGCATTCGGAGTGTTTCCTGCTTTCCATTATGAAGATCAGTCGTGGTTGGCGTTGGGAAGCCTCGACTAATCTCGCTAATCGGACCCGATCTATACAACTCTCGACGCGAACGCCTGGATATCGACACCTTGCAATAGCTACACCAGAACATTTGAAAAGGTGATTTGATATGCTCATGCATGGAGAATAAATGGAAGATAACAAATATACAGTTTTTGGACTTTTCTATCAACTGTGGCCCCTAAGATCAGACAAAATCCCCATTTCTGTTCTACTTGATCTTGTCTGATCCTGGCTTCCAAGGAGCCGGGAAAGGTCATTGGAACAATAAAGAAGCATTGGAATACACATCCCACCAGTTTTGATTTAAACCAGACCATCCATTGCTATGATACACGGAACTTCATGCCCTGTCCCGATCCCCGATGCGAAACGGACATTCTCCACAATGAAAATAATCCATAAGAAACAATGAAACAAAAAACCACAGAACGCCCACGCCAGTCCAGCTCATGTTAGATCAGGAAAGAATTTTGTATCATAAGTTATTTTTAACGGAAAAAGAAAAATGCATCTCTCGTCATCAAGAAACTAGGCAGCTCCACGCGGCTTCGCCTTGGCTTCCTTCTTAGCCTTGGCATCTTCCTTCTTCTTCTTCTTTTGTTGCTGCAGCTTCTCGTCGTGCTTGCGCTTGAGAGATGCTTTCTCATCTTCAGTGCGGGCAACTGGCTTGAAGAATCCCTCTAGCCTGGATTGCTGAGCGGTCTTGAGGTGCTTCGACAGACGGGCGGCACCATTGCGCACACGGTCTTCATTGAAGCCCTTGTCCCCAACCAGGAACTCAATCAGGCCCTCAATGTTGGGGGCTTCCCACTTGAAGTCACATTCGGCGTGATCGGCAGGGCGGACGTCTGGGTTAACAAAAAGTTCTCGTGCATCTTCGTATGGCCAGTCCTCGGGAACTACGAATTTCTTCTTCGGGTCGTTCTTCATGAACTCCAGAACCTTCTCTAGAGACTTGTGCTCCTTAATTAGGCTGAGAGCAGTGGTGGCTCCCACCTTGGGAATAGGCTCCAGGTAATCACAGCCTAGAAGAATACAGAGATCGATGAACTACACGGTAGACATAGTCAGCAATTGTGACTACGCGTATCATAATTAGGATACCGTACCTGTGAGCGGTCCATATCGAGACCCTCAAGCGCTCGATCCAAGTGGATCTCCTGGATAGGTTCCTTGCGCTGCTCACTGAACGTCAGGTGGCGCAGGAGAATCGGCGACTCAAAGCACAATGTATCCATATCCTCTGATGCAGCTGCGTACACCTTACCCGCACGAGCCAGGACAGCACACTGGGCTTCGGCTTCCGTCGGGGCATTGATGAAAGGAATTCCCATCAGCCCAAGGAGCTTCTTGCACTCCGCATTGTGTTCACGGGTGACGCGGACAGTCCGTCGTGAGAACTTTTCGATATCTTCCGCAGTTCCAGTTTCCTTGGCCTCTTCATGGGCCTCGGTTGCCTCAGCCTTGCGTGCAACACGCTTGGCCAATTCACCGGACTTGAGCTTCGGTGGAGCTCCGTCGAAAACGTAAAGAGGTTTAATGCCGTTGTCCACCATTCGCAGAGTGCGGTAGAACATGCCCATAAGGTGGGATGTGGTCTCGCCCGACTCACTCATGAGCTGTTGACCCTCCGAGCGCACGGCGATCAGGAAACTGTAGATGCTCATCGACCTGTTCTGGGTTAGAGACTAGAGATTCTTGAGCTACCGGGACGGTGATCCAATAACGTACGCATCCTAATTTGAAGAATATATACGTTAGCATCTGAATATATTTCGCAGGTTATACAATACATACAATTGCGACCTTGCGGCCGAAGTGGTTCTTGATCTCGCCCGTCTTGATCGCATCGGGGGCATTCTCGGAGATCACTTGGTACAGATCTGGTGTTTATTTAGTAAACAGGCGTGAATAGTTGAGAGTAAGATACTTACGCTTAATACCCATCTTGAATGTGAGCTCAGGTTGTCTCAAGTTGGAATCTTGTTGTCTGTGTAGAGAGTTGAGCTTGACCTGTCGCAATACGCGAACGCGCTGGCTGGAAGCGCGACATCATTTAAACCTAATTGGGGATAGTGTACAAGGTCAAGGTCAGGTGACCGGTAATTTCAGCCTGATTTCAGCCTGAATATGCATGTATGCCTCAGGCGCCCAACCGGCAATGAGTAGTTCGGGCCAGAACCGGCCGGTCCATGGGTGTGAAGTTGCTCCGACCCCGCCTTTCTGTTTTCCCCGGAATGCGCCAGGAGGATGAGTCCAGCCTCCAGAATAATATGAAGCGGAATCGCACTCAATTCGAGGCCAATGGTGAGGCCTCGTCCGATTCTCCCCCGCAAGGTGCCTTCACCCCGGAGGACCGCCCTCATCATGTTCCGAAGATCTCTCGACGGATACGGGCATGCACTGAGTGTAAGAGGCACAAGGTGCGCTGTGACATGAAGGCAACTGACTCGGTGTGCTCTCGGTGTCAGCGCATGGGACTAGAGTGTGTTGTGAATAAAAGCCTCCAGACATTACTAGAGGACGAAGCTGAGTGTGTGCCTTGTATTCGCTATTTATATTGGTAACATACACTGATTGCGCCGGCTACGATAGGTGGAAATCGATGATCGAATCGGCAATGACAGACCTGCTCAGGAAATCCCAGCTACCGGAGCTATCATACTACCAAGCAGGCGGTGGTACAAGCGAAACGCCTTCGAACAAGAGAGGCAGGAAAGAATCCACCGTCTCGACTGATGATAATGGACTTGTACAACATAGAAAGACTGAGCCAGTCGAAAATACAATAAGAAATGGCACAGCTGCAAGGTCAAACTATGGCTTCCCCCAACAACAGCCACGATATTCTTTGGACCGCGAGGAAGCTGGCGCAACATCTCTGGTCACAGCACCAATGGGCAGTTTATACGAGGTGACGCAGCTCAGTGAAAACCGCGAGAGCTCGCCAGGACGAAAGCTTGCCCCCGACCAAGCACTGGTCACTGATATCATCTCACGCGGAGTGGTCGATATCCAGGAAGCGGAGGGGCTGTTTTATCAGTTCGACCAGGTACTCAACCGCTATCTATGGGATGGAGCCTTGCTAGCACATAAAGACTTGACATCTGTTCGACGGTCTTCATCAATGCTGTCTGCCGCCATTTTGGCTGTCACCGCACTTCACATGCCGACGAAAGAACGCACGTTTGATACATGCTACACCGAGTTTGCAAGATTGGCATCGGAGTCTATGCTGGGCCACCATCACACCTTGGATGATATCCGCGCATTATG